CCTGTTTCCTTCACGATTGGATTTCCAATAGAGCCTCTACTGAACGAATATAGTGAAGTTCTGTACGTGTAAAATGTTATTTATTAGTATATTACAGCACTTTAGTCAGTCTTACACACAGAAAACATGAAAAACATAAAATATTCAAAATACCATGTTAGTTTAAACATCCAATTTTCTCACTATTACATTTACAAAATTTTAGTCTCTTCATATAATTTTTTTTTTCGTGTGTTCTCGTGTTTTTGCACAAATTCTCATCAATTATAATTTTTTTCATATTTCTCTTTATTTCTTACCTGGTTCAATTCAATCCAGATTTTAATAAAAATTTATCTTAAAAAGATGTAAATAAAATAGTATTAAAATTGTACGAAAATAAAATAAAACAAAATGACACAAATTTGTCCAACCACACACTTATAATATCAGACGCTTAATTATCTTCCTTAATGGCAGACATTTGAAATAAGAATTTTTCATCATGCGCAAACAAAGCTTCTCTGACATTACAAAACTCGTGTTTTCGCATAAAGCGTGAGGAAAATTATAAATTAAATTACGCAGGTAGTACGTATATAATGTATAGCATAATTTTAATAAAATAGTTACAATAATAAAGAATACAAAAAGAGAGATGATACAAAAAATAATGCAGTCAATTATAAAAAATATAGATACATATGTAACGGCGAAAAACCATTTAATGTCGAATTATCTACAAGTTCGTTATATAATACAAGTATGCTCTTTATATTTCTAAAGTAAAATTCTGGTCGCTTCATTTTAATTGCGCATAAAATGCGCGATGGACGAAAATAATAAACTTGGCGCAGTGTAAGGATCTTTTGGAAATATACTTTAGAAGCTGTACCTCACAAGAGCAACGTCAGACGTCGCCGCGTGGGCGACTCGAATAAGTCACAAACACGTCGACGATAGATGGAATTTAGGGCTGGGAAGGGTTCAAAAGAAGGGGATCAGTCTTGCGTATGTCCACCACGTAGACCCCATTGCCAGGGTGTATACGGCGTACGTGGGCGCGCACGTTTGACGGATGCTTCGTCCTATAGGCGCAGTAGGGGCAATTGTACCTCGGCGGCTGACCGCACTCGATCCTCCAGTGGTACTGAAGATTGTGCTTCATGCTGAACACGCTGTTGCAATTGCCGCAGGGATACGATCTCGCGTTTTGATTGCGCGACGAGCCCATGACGTCCCTGTTCGCGACCGACCGATTATAGTCTTTCCGCCACGTGCGCGTCGACGCCAACTCGAAGGCTGCAAAAAAAAAGGTACAGAACGTCTTCGTCGTTCATAGAACCCGTAACGATCGTCGCTAAAATCTCTATTCTGACTTAATATCCGTGTCATTTTCCGAGAGAGAGAGAGAGAGAGAGAGAGAGAGGGAGAAAGAAAGAAAAAAAGAAAGTGAGAGAGGGAGGGACATTAGAACAGTCTTCTCTTGCGAGCAATTGGCAAAAACAAAACGTTAACTCTCTTGTTAGGTCACGAATCGTGCGATCAGTAGCCAACGACACAGGCATGAGGTGAATCTTCCGCGGGAGGGAAGACATGTCACAGACATGACGAGGGGGCGGGGGGGGAGGACAACATTCTCAGGACTACCGTGGCTCGATAGAGGACGACGTATCCTTTCATTCCGGCGGAAATCCACGCCGACGTGTCTCGTTGGAGATTCACGCGACCGGCGTCGACTCGCCGTGCTGCTGCCAGCTGAGGATGTCGACGACGTAGACCTCGCGGTCGGGGTGCTTCCTGCGCACGTGGGCCCGCACGTTGGACGTGTGCTTGGTACGGAAGGGACAGTACGGGCAGTTGAACCGCGGCGACTGACCGCACGCGAACTTGAGATGATGCTGGAGATTGTAGCGCCAATTGAAGGATCCGCCGCATCTCGGGCAGTAATACACCTGTTTGCAGCAGGCCTGCCGTGCGGGACGCTGGGCCTTATGGACCGATCGATTCGCGCCGGACTTGCGTCGGGCGCTCCTCTGCGAGTACTTGCCTTCTGAAAAATGCAGATGTCCTACTGATTAGCCGCGTTAATCGCCAATTAGCACCTAGCAACGTGAATGGACGATGTATCGTTACAGGAGGATAGTTCCGCGGACGAAGGCATGGGGATTTACTAGGTGGACAGCGAGAGTGTCGATGAGTTAGCTGATGTTTAAAAAAGTAACCACTGAAAATGTTGCCTAAAAGATCGTTTGAAATCCATCGAGCGTACCTTAATTCAACTGCAAAGTAAAGTCGATACAAACTACTAATTTTACGAATGCATATAATCGCCTACATTTATTGTAGCACAATAAATAAGAAAAAATACAAAAAGATGGTACAAAATAACGCAGTAGATTATAAACGATTTATATACAACGTTGCGAAATCAGACTATCAAATTATATCTACAAAGTTTTCTGCATATAAATATAATAATATGTAAATGTATTTATATATATGTATGTGATATTGTATATATGAATAAATATATAAATGCGCTTGTATGTAATCGATCGATTTACACAAGAATATTGCTTCTTTTCGTCAATACATTAAAAATGATAGAACGTGAAATTCTCTTCGCAATTTCGTTACATGGAAGACAACGAAGAGCAAGTCTCGTTATGTCGACTATTTATACTTATATTTATATTGTACAGAAGAATATATGTCGAAACTTCATATACAGTCTAATAACGCGATTACATATCTCAAAAATATATACGTACATTCGACTAGAATTGTCACTTCTGTTCGAATTTGTTGCTTAAAATTACGAGAACGGAATCTTTTCCCAATAAAAAAAAATTACAAAGTATTCTCTCGATTCTCTGTACTTCGTCCTTATAATAATTAAATTAAATTTTTAAATTCTTTTACGGCAAATGAATTTCAAATTCGCTAAAAAAATTAAAAAAAAAAGACTAAATAAAAATTATTTTAATCATCAATTACTGCTTTGCTTCATTTTTCATAAATAAGATAATAAAGTATAGCAATATCGTGTAATAATTTCAATATTTGTAGAAAAAGAAACAGAAAACAAAACAATAAAAATGAATTTTTTATTATAACAAGGATGGAAGATGGTGACGCGTTTCTTCAGGACTGTAGGCGAGAAAACAAAAATAGAGTTCCTTCTTGTTAAAAAAACAAGAAAAAAGTGGCACAATGCCTACGTTAAACAGTCTTGATTTATATTACGATCCTACTTTGCACACGTCGATGGCATATACTTTATTGCCGGGATGCTTCCTGCGCACGTGCGCACGCACGTTCGACACGTGCTTCGTGCGGTAAGCGCAGTAAGGACAATTGAATCGCGGCGACTGGCCGCACTCGAATTTCGAGTGATAGTAAAGATTATTCTTGTGACTGAAGACACTCGGGCACCTAGGACAGGGGAACTTCGGCCTCTCGACAAGGAAATTGCCGTCGACGGCGACTGGGCGATACGTCGGCTGTTCCTCTGTCATGACGGGCACGAATTCATGCCCGTAGATCGCTGGCAGAATACGGTCTGAAACAGAAGCGAGAGGAACGTCACGTCAGAAATCGTTGCCGATTTGTGAGAACCTCGACGCGATTCGGTAATCCGCGCTGGACTCTGCAAAACTGCCGAGGCGCCGAGGCCGAGCTTGAGATCGGAAAGTCTTCAAACAGCGCTTTGTTTCGCGTAAAAGACTAGCAATCATATCAATTCATTTTTTTTTTTATTAATACAAATTATTAATATAAATAGTAATAAATCGTCATTATTAAAAAAGATGATTTAATTTTGGAATCTGCAAACACACATTCGACGCTTTCCAATCTCATTCGTTCATACGTACGTAAGTCGTTAAGGTAAATATGTATATGTGCAAAATTAAAATGTAATACAGAAGATTTTTGGATAGGAAGGAATAGATATTAAAATTTAATAATAACGTTTTATTTGATACACACAGAACACTTACAGTCTACGCATGTGCGTAAAATGCAAACAACGTTTCTTTAAACGAATTAGTCATGATCTTTATGAGCGCACAGTAAAGCATAAGTAATAGTCTCAATCTAAACATCAATTAACCTAAAGCTCCCTTTTTATCAAATTCGCAACAGATAATATAATCGTTGAATGTTGAACACAGATAATATATCTTAATTCAATTAATACTGAACTATCACAAATAATTTGGTTCGTAAACTTATATAAAATTTGAGATATGTGCATAAATCTCAACAAGATTTAAGCTACGCGTGTAATTAAAGGCAGACTTCGTGAACTTAATTATCGCCTTATAATAACATATTTCTTATTAAATAATAATTTATAATCTTCAAAAATAATGGCATTTTACGTGTATAGTACTGAAAAATAAATTCTTAACTAATATTTTTAAATATAAATATAAATACTATTAATTATATTTTTAATTATATATTCTTTAACATAAATAAATTATTAATAATACTGCAATGATATTAAGGATATTTGCATTTAAAAAATTCTATGTCGAACAATACTTTCTCGCACGAAAATTATCATGTAGATAGTAAAATTTGTTAAAACTTCTGGGACGAGATTACGATAACTTCGGCCCCTCGAATTGTTAGTAATTTTTAATGGCATTTTTTACCAAAAATTACTAGAAAAATATTTAAAAAAAAACTTCCGAAGGCCACCCTCATCCACCCCCGCCTACATATGTACTGTCTATACACACACACACACTCGAAGTATTATTTAAAAATTTATATTATTTATTTTTAACTTTAAACACTGTATATCTCGAAAACTACCGTACTTAGCCGCGTAAGACCTATATCATTTTTTGTTCAGCGTAAAAAATATTACCAAAAACCATCGTCAAATCAATGGGCCGAAATTATCCTAATCGTGCCAAACTTCCGCATATAATCGAAAGTTTATTTCAATTAGTCCCACAGCTAATAACAGTAATCGTCGTGTAGAATTGGTTAGTAACAATTCGCTATTTTTCCTAATAACAGAGATATTTTCTTTTTACAAATATCTGTGTGTAAATCGTCGCGATTAATGGCTAAAACTGCGTAACGAGAAACACAGTATTTGGCACTGATCCTCCGTCATACACCGTCCTTAAATAGCGCAAGTCATTTCACGCGAGACACGGAAAATGTACACACACAGACACACACACACATACACAGCCACAACTATCTTCCGTCCTCGCAGGTCAATTCTTCAGGTCGACTAATCGGAGTCAAGTACGCGAAATGAGAATAGTCAACGCGGACAGATGCCCAAGATGCTCTGTGTCCCTGAAAACAAAAACAGATACATCCGTGTTCATACGGTATAGTCTGCTCTGGCGCGCATCCTAGGGAAACGTTTACGGTATTCTTCGTGCAATCGCGAACAATACCACACCAAAAATACACAAAATAGTAAGATCTTCGGGGGATCTCTACCGTTCTTCCTAGCTGCGGTGCTACGACGAGAAGAAGATCTTCGCACGATGTTCGACATTTCACGGTGCCGTCCGGCGTCTTTGGTCTTCTCGAATCGTCGTTCTTCAGGGCGAAGAACGGCGGCGATCTTCCGGATGGACGACGCCTGGTCTCAAGGATTGCGTTGATGCAGCGTGCACAGGTCGACCGCGTACACGTCCCGACCGGGATGGCACTTTCGCACGTGTCGGCGGGCGTTCGAAATATGCTTGGCGCAGTAGCCGCAATACGGGCATTTAAATCGCGGCTCCTGGCCGCACTCGTATTTCTGATGATAAGTCAGACCGCCCTTGCGGCTGAAGACGCTGGTGCAATTCGCGCAGGGGAACTTTCCGTTCAGCATCCTCGCGCTCACGTCCACGTCGATTGTCCGCGCCGCCGTCATCGACGCCGTCGTTACCGTCGACGACGGGTACGATTGGAGAACGTAGCTCTGCGTAGCGGGCGGTATCGCGGCAAACATACAGTAATTGAAGCCTGAAACACAAAAAAGACGCGCCGTTCGCGTCAAAGCTTCTCGTATCGCCATACGACATGTCCGAGATAGAGAGAGAGATAAAGAGAGAAAGAGAGACGATAGCGGAGCGGGGAAAGTAGGATCAATGATCAATTCGTGCGCATCAAACCTTTATCAGTTGTAAAATTTGTTGGAACGGTGATAAGCGATGGTACTGTCATCATGCGTTGAGAAATTATCGATGATCGGACGGAGGGGGAAACGCGATCGGGGGTGCTATCTCTTCCGTTGGAGAAGTAATGAGAGCGAGCGATAATATTCAAAATAACATATACTTCACTGTGGCTTTATTCTGAAAAAATGATGAATGGGCACATACTAACGTTAGCAAAACTAAGAAGAAACACATGAAAATTAACAGGACAAATAAATAATGTGAATTATTCTGTATCAGATTTAGCTTTCCCTCAGCTAGTTTTTAGATAGCTTAGTTACATATTTCGAGGAATCTTGCGATGCGGAGAGCAGAATTTCTCGATATCTTCGATGGTGGTCGTTAGAGACGCGGTGCGCGGATCACGTTGACTTCGTAGCCGGAGTGCTTTCGGGGTACGTGGGCGCGTATGTTGGACGATTTCTTCGAGACGTATTCGCAGTAGGGACAGCCGAATCGAGGCAGCTGTCCGCATTCGAACTTCATGTGCGAATAGAGGTTGTTCTTCCGGCTGAAGATGCTCGAGCACTTCGGGCAAGGGTACTTGCACCGGGGCTGAATCTTCGAGCTGGATGGCATCTTGAAGCCACCCAGGTGTACCAAGTGTACATCTGCAAGAAAACGTTCGAACTTGTCAGAGTTCGCAAGGAGGAGAAGAGATCGCCGTCAATCGGTAGCGCAATAACGGAGCAAGATAAATAGAGACACAGAGAGTGAAAAGAAAGTCACAGCCATCAATCACGAAGTATTCCGGTAACGTAAGTCGCGCCGACAGGCTTGATATCCAAGTTGAATAAATCTTCTCATGGCGCGCAATAAAATCCACAGATACTCGCAGATACACACACGTACACCCTCACACAAGTAAATGCAATTAAATTCGAAATCACACTCTATTTGACTACAATTATCAAAAATGTATGGTACACAGAGAAAAATAATACATGCTTGATCGAGAACTTAAACGTTATATAAAAGTTAAATTTTTCTTTTTTTAATCAGTGTCCAAGAGTTCAGCAAGTTGATGAAGAGTTGTCTTGGAAACATCGTTACGTTGCTCGAACGTTCGAGGTTAAATGTAACTCGCGTTCACGTCGATCACGTACACCTCGCTGCCGGGATGGAGCCCGCGAATGTGCGCGCGTACGTTCGAGGTCTTCTTCGAGCAGTAGAGACAGTGCGGACACTTGAACCTCGGCAACTGGCCGCATTCGTACTTGAGGTGCTTCTGCAGATTGTTCTTCCGGTTGAATACGCTGTTGCAATTCGGGCAGGGAAACTTGACTTCGTGCCGCAGCGCGTACAACCCGGACGCGTCTTGGCCGAGGAACGGCCGGTCGAAGGGAAAGATCGTGTCTGCAAAACAAAAGAGACGAATAGTTGACACGCGACGCGTTCTCGGTCACTCAATAAAAGCGAGGGTGTTGGGAAGGAAAATTAGACACGTGGACACGTAGGACAAGTTCCGTGTTAGAGAAGTTGCAGGTTTAACATAAAATCGAAACGCAGAGAAGCCCATTTAAAACATCCCATCTACGAATCGCACTTCGCGATTGTTGGATCACAGTGAAGGAAACTGGTTCAGCCGGGGATCATCTGGCATCGTTCGAAAGCACGATTACGCGATTCGATAGCGGACAACGGCGCTGAAACGGTACCCGAAAAGGAGCGCGCTTCGCGGACGTTTCACTTCTCCTTCAGATCGATCGACCAGACTATCTCGCCGCGATGCCTACGGCGCACGTGCTTGTAAAGATTCGATATCAGTTTCGACCGGTGGTTACAGTAAGGGCACTGGAACCTCGGCGACTGGCCGCACTCGTAGTTCTGGTGTTCCCGCAGGCCCTTCCGCCTCAGGAACACGCTCGTACAGTTCGGACAGGAAAACATCTGAAGGTTCTCGCATGCCCTCCTGGCAGACCTGAAAACTAAAAGCACAAGTCCTTGTTAGAGGGTCATCACGCCCGGGTAACCATCTGACATCGAGAGAGATTGGGCGAGAGAAGCTCGATTTCCAAGCTCCGAACAAAGGTCAACGCGTTACGCATTTATGATCGAGGATATAACGACCGGAGAGAGAACTCAGATTCCTGGATTCAATAGCTTTCGCTGCGGGAAAATTTCGGCCCAAAACGCGCACTGTAGACTGTAGACACTCACCAAAGACCGCTGTGGACAATGACTTTTTGTCAGCACGTCTTCTTTAAAGAATGTATAGAAGTCGTTGAAATGCTGAATTGTTGAAAAAAAAATATATATATATATAAAATAAAAACATTTTAATCGATTCCTATTTTTATTCCATTTTAGTATACCTATAGCTGTAATATTTAACATAAAACATGAAGCATAAGCAATATTTAGTTGCTAAGCCGTCGTCGACAAAATATAATAAGTGCCGAGCGTCTATAGGCGTCTACAGTCCATAATAAACGTTAATTGAGCGTCTATAGACACCAATAGCAATAAAAAAATTAAGTTCGTATAAAAAAAAACCATACGCTATAATAATCGTAAATCTAAATAAAAATTATGAACAATATTCCGTCGAGATATCATAGATGATTTGATCGAGAAATAACGATTTCAAACCATTTGGAGAATCTTCATCCAATTCCGCTACCAGATGAACACGATTAATTAATGAATGACGATCGTAATTTGAATTGATTCGGATAATCAGTGTTGGTGACGTTAAAGCTTGCTCGGGATTTTATGGAACAGAATAAAATATCGTATTTATTGTTGCAACGTTTGACGAACACGTATGTCATATCGAACATTGGACGAGTGTTGGATGGCTTGGACGCAAACGGCGCGATTCTCGTGCCTCCGCCATATATGCCGTCGTATATCAGCCGTCCTCATCGAGACAAAATCACAGTAGAGACACTTGAATCGAGGCGGCTGGCCGTATTGGTATCTCAGGCTGCCATTCGTACCATGCACTTTCGTACAATTCGTGCAGGGAAATCGCGTGCTTCGGTTAGAGCCGCCGTTCGCGTCTGTCGTCAATCCGAAGAGCGCACAGAAACCTGAAAATGAAAGCCAGTGTCAGAAGATCGCGCGTGCGAGACGTTTAAAATTCTCTTTCGTTCCGTTATCGCCGCCTATCCGAGATTTAACGATGGCCGCCAGATTAGAACGAATAAATGCCATAAATACGAACCAACAGAAAATAGAACCATAAAAACCGGTTCGATAACTTACCATTTTCTTCAACTAATTATCGCTGTAAATCGCGCAATTTTATGTTATTTAAGTTTAGTAGATTAATTCTAAATAACAAGCTCGTGTGTATGTAAAAAGAATCAAGGATAACACTGTTATCCTTGATTCTTTTTATATACACACGAGCTTGTTATCTAGAATTTGTCTTACACCCTGGCCTACGATGGGGTATAATGAAAGTCATCGTGTTTCAATGTTAGATCGTATTATTGTTATGGAGAACACTCTTCCACATTTGATTAATTGGTTGATGAAAGCACAGTGTGCAGAAACGTGCATCAACATTGTTAATATATTATTTTTAAATTATAATATTCGTTGTTGCTCGTTATTGGCCGTGTTATCCTTGATTCTTTTTACATACACACGAGCTTGTTATTTAAAATTTATCTTACACCCTGGCCTACAATGGGGTATAATGAAAGTCATCGTTTCAATGTTAGATCGTATTATTGTTATGAAAAACACTCTTCCACATTTGATTAATTGGCTGATGAAAGCAAAGTGTGCAAAAACGTACCAACATTGTTAATATATTATTTTTGAATTATAATATTCGTTGTTGCTCATTATTGGCCGTGTTATCCTTGATTCTTTTTAGTAGATTAAGAATTTAAAAAATTAATTAATAGTTTAAATAACAAACTTAATTCATCGTTCTATACAGTTATCATGTCACAATTTCATCTTCTCCTCGAACTTAAAAATGTCCTCAATTTTAATTACTCGACCAACACAATAATAATAATAATAATATAAACGATAATAGAGATGAAAAAATATATTTTCTAAAATGGACAAATTTTATGCGAACGCATTGCGTTTTATATATTTGCTTTATATCGCAAAGGTACAACTTATTCACATACACAAATATTAAATTGCACACATTCGTTAAATATAATTGTATCGCCCTATATACATGAGTTTCCTCGCAGATATACAACATTTATTGTACAGTTACAGTATTCATTAATCGAGAGATGTCCTGGACGTAGACCGCGTAGCCCTCGTGCTTTCGACGAATGTGCTTTTGTATGTTCGACGATTTTTTCGAAATTAGATCGCAATAAGGGCACTTGAATCGAGGTGGCTGGCCGCATTCGTATCTCAAATGCGTGAGAAGACTTTTCTTCTGTCCGAATGTGCTCGGACAATTAGCGCAGGGATACCTCGGGCTACTTCCCACGTTGTTCCAGTCCCGATAACGATGTCTCATGTTCTGCCTATGTTCTATCCCTAACATCAAAGGCGAGGATACTCTCATCCCTGAAAAGCATCACGTATCAATTAATATCGCGCACCCTTACACGACACGGTTAATAACATACACAATGGAAACAAACCGATTATTGAGAAAAATTTACGCAGCTTGCAAGAAAAACTGTTCTCAATCTTTTAATTTACACCCGCTTATAGTTTTAAGTTCATTATGAGAAAAGCATGTCTTTATAGTTATTAGAAAGTTAAATTCACAAGAATAAAGAAGAGAAGGAACTTCGAGGAAGGAAGTTTTTCAGGAAATATCGTGGGTTGAATATGCGTGTGTACAAAAAGGGAAATTTTATTTCAAACATTTTGCTAACAAATTTTAAAGAGGTATATAAGTATAGACAAATTTTTCTATACATAAATAGCGAAATAAGTATTATACGCAATTGGAACTTTTGATACAATTATTATCGTTGTAAAATTGCGCAATTTTATTTTATTTAATAAATGAATTTAATAATCTAAATATTTATAAATAAATGTCACATGATGAACGATTGCGTGTGATATGTTGTATATTATATAACTCTTCCATGGACCACGAGAAACCAGCTTTCATTCATAGCGTGTGATATAATGGTGCTCTCTCTTCTATTATATTTATAATTTTTAATATAATTTTTCTAAATCTTCAACCAAATTATTCTTCTACGAAAGAATTAAAGCAATCGTGATGGAAAACGTATTATATGTACATATTGCAATCTATTTTCTTAAACAAGTTACCGATGTCAAATGAGTTACGATGTAACATCAAGAATAACATCAAGAAATATAATTATTCTGAATATACAATATATTAACTATTTGAAAAAAACTTAATTCGTATTTAACACACTACTCTTCTCTTTGGTAAAAAAAAATTATCATACAATACAGCTAATTTCTTAAAATGTTACTAACACTCGAGACAGCCATGATGTAGATTCTTCAAATTAACGAAAAATTTATCGTATTAATTGTAAAATTACTATACTCAACTAATGATTCGCAAATGTCAAAATTTTAACTTTTAATTAATTACAATAGTAAAAAAAATGTATTATCACAAATTATCCGTACGAATTTCCAACAAGGTAAAAAAATGTTACGCCGATGTAATTCGATTTCGCAATATATCTTCCTATGGACAGTTCGCGCTGCTATTCTCCAGGTATGTACTCGATATAAAAAGCATATTGCTTCAAAGTTTGTGCAGCAGAGTTTCGTTAACCGCGCGTGGAACTCCTTGTAGAAATCTCCGTGCTCGGTTTCTTCGTCATCAGTCTGCGTTCTTCAGCAGCGTACTCTCGACAGCTGCTTGTAGAGATCGATGATCTGCAATTTCTTGTCTTTGTGCATCCGTCGCACGTGCACGTACATGTTCGACGAGAACTTGGCCTTCTTCGTGCAGTACGGGCACTGGTACCGCGGTTCCTTGCCGCATTGAAACTGGCAATGCGTCTTCATGTCGGACAGCCTTGTGTAACCGCTGTTGCATCTGGGGCAGTGGAACCTCTTCCGCACGATCGAGCCCTGCACGACCACGCTGTCCGGCCAGCGAGTCGTGGCGATACGCGACGCTACGGCGGTTTCCTGACGGTGAGTCGAGTCGACGTAAAGGTACGTGCTCTCCTCCGCGTTCTCCCTCGCGTTCAGGCCGTCCCTTTGGGGTTGATAAGACTCCGCGGTCACGCCGCGACCAGGCATTACCTGGGGGTGTACGTAAGACGACGGGTGCACCTGCCCGTAAAGTGGATCTAGAAAAAGAATGGAAAATTTCGAGCTGCAGTTAGCGAGATCATCACGGATACGAGTCACGACATCGGATAGAGAGAAACATTTCCGTCCATGCTCTTCGATTCATCTACATAATCGAGACTCGTGGGAATCGAGCCTCGTGCGTATCACACTTACACACAGAAATGCGGATTGCTACGAAATTAAACAAAAGTAAAGGATCATCCGTCGTATACTTCTGGAACCCCAATCTGTAAACATCCAGAAATACTATATAAAATAATACATCGGACACACATTAATATTTATCTAGTTTATTTATTATGTACATCTTAAACGTGTGATCAATGATATGTTTTCTGTAATAAATACAGAATAACAGTCAAGCTACATATTTTATTTTTATTCCTAAATTATTTTGTGTATTTATACATGCGTGTCTATCTTTTCGAAAAATTATCTGAATACTTCAAAATTAAGATACTTCATGATAATAAATAAAAAAATATGTAAAATATGAAAATATCACAATACAAGTTAAATTGAGCTTCATTATTCTAACCAACGTTCTCATATCAGAAAACGATCCAGTCATTCTGAAAGTTGGAGAACGTCGTTGGAACCGTCTCATTGAAGCGTCGATTGTTTGCTCAGGTCTATTATATATATCGGTTGATCGCCATGCATGGTGCGCACGTGCGCGTACATGTTTGACGACACCTTCGAACGTTTGCGGCAGTAAGGGCACTCGAATTTCGGCTCTTGACCGCATTGGAACCGCATGTGCTTCTTCATGTCGCCCAGGTACTTGTAACTGTTGCCGCACTTGGGGCACAGATATCGCCGGTGCCCTTCCTCTCGCTGCTGCTGCTGCTTTGTCGCGTTCTCGGGGTACCAATCGGAACCGAAGGTGTTGGAGTCCCCGAAGCCGGTGCTGTCGTAACTCTGTAACGATGGAACATGAAGGCAGCCAAGATGCTGCTCCAACGCGATGGAATAATCAGGATTCTGCTTCTCCTGACACGAAACAACCCCTGGAAAAAGAACGATCCCCACGAGGATAAACCTCGATCAATTAAATCTTGCCCACGGATAATTACGTTACAGATAGGAACAATTACATTATTCGGGTTGCCTTTCAACGCGTGTTTGGTGGTAAGTGTAAGCCTCGTCGTATTTCTTCGGGATCAGTGAGAAAATGAAAGACGACGTTTAACGCTAAATGGGTGCCACATAAGAGCGTATATTGAATTTTTTTCAGTTCAAAATTATAAGTGTATGTACATACATATATAATTATAAATTATAAAGTTATATATACATATGTATAAATGTAATTTATTTGTTATATTATTACAAGAATGATAATTTTACTAATTAGACAATAGAAGTCATAATATTAATTTTAATTAATAGCGGATTTGAATTATTGATCTTGATAATATTTATTTCACACATATTAAGCATTTTAACAAAGAATTAAAGAGAATGATGAGAAAAGAAAACACATTAGTCTGCTAGAAATAAACTCTATATCCTATAATTAACTATTTCATAAAATACATTACATAATATATCTACCTTTGATAAATGCCGGTTTAACTTTTAAAATTTATTGAGACATATCTATATAATGTTAAGCAGAATATAAGCAGAATAACACTCGGCATATTATATAATCCATATCGAATCGTTGAATATCTCAACAAACGATAAACGGCATCTCACCAAGTAAGAAATGGCCAGATGACTTGTTACTTATCATATATTGTAACTTATCGCACATCGTGATTTATAATATACGGGGTCTGTTCAAGAAGTTTCCGAACTTTGTCTTGATAATTTTGGGAGGTTTACTTACAACTTATTCAGCCCTATCTCCTTCGCCTTGGTTGATACATCATTCCCAACGCCAAAATAAAGTGATACAAAAAAGATAAATGTGCACACTATTTATCATTTTTATTAGCAAACAACACCCAGAAACTGAATACAAAATTACAAAAAGATGAGCGCGCGTGTGCACATACACACAAAAACAAAAATGTAAAAATGCACAATAAAAAAGATTATGAGTTGCAGCGAGTCATAACGTGAGTCATGGCGAAAAATTAGTCACAATTAATTTTCAACTATTTCTTTCCAAACGATTTCAAAATTAAGTTAACCACTAACGCATCAATTACGACACATGTGCTTCAAGTAAAATTTACTCATCTATATAATCGTAGAAGATTTAATCATACTCACGGGAAGAATTTCTTATCTCTTTTATTAGAAAAAAAATTTCATTTATTGCAACATTGCATATTTATGACGGACTAAAAAAGTAAATGTAATACATTTCGAAGAAATAAGACAAATTTCACTCCAAATTTGAAACAAAATAAAAATTTATAAATTAAAGCATTTTCCATGAATGAGAAATAAACGAGAAATTCCATGAAGATACAAGTTAATACAACTTTTTTCGCCCGATTATTACATATTATCGGACTGTAATCAACTGTAACCAAAAGAAATACTGAAGTTCAAAATCGTTCCGTTTAACTTAAGGTATAGAGTCCATGCTAGAGTCGTCTATGAAAAGTTCGTCCGGTGATTCTTCTTGCTTTTCGGTTTTACGTGTCGCTGCGTATGATTTGTGGTTCACGCAATGTCTCATCTTATGACGTTCCGGAATGAATGATCCTTGCATGACCTTGCCGCAATCTGGGCACTTCACCGTTTTGTTGCACTCGTGTTTCTGATGGTATCTCAGGTTTTTCAAGTAACTATAATTACGGCCGCATTGCTTGCATTTGAAGTTGGCAGTCTTGTTGGTCTTGGAGTCCGGGTTACACAAGCACGTTGTCATGATGTGATGAACGAGATTGGCGCGACTCTCATAAACGGCATCGCAATACGGGCACTTGTGCTTCTTCCTCAATTTTGCGACGTCTTTCGAGTTGGTCCAAGACGACGGAGAGCTCTCGTTATCGCTGCCGATATTCTCGTTATCGTTATCGGTCTGGCTATCGTTTAAAGAAATAATTTCGAAATGTTTAGAAGGTTTTTCAACAAACATCACTGACTCTTGCGCAGTACTCGTTGAAGGCTTAGAAGGTTCTTCAACAAAGCTCACTGACTCTCGCGCAGTACTCGTTGAAGGCTCAGAAGGTTCTTCGACAAATCTCACTGAATTTTGCGCAGTACTCGTTGAAGGCTCAGAAGGTTCTCCAACAAAGCTCACTGATTCTTGCGCAGTACTCGTTGAAGGCTTAGAAGGTTCTTCGACAAAGCTCACTGAATTTTGCGCAGTACTCGTTAAAGGCTCATCCTTGATATCAATTAAGTCTCTTGAGTCTCGTCTGTTTCTTTTAGATCTATTCCCTCTTAACTCTGGTGACTTTTCTTTTCGCTTCAATATTTTTTCTTTTCCCCATGGCCTTTCTGTCTTCACCGAGGATGCTATTGTCTCTTGCGATGACTCTTTCTCTGTAACACGATGGCGAAGAAATGCTTTAAAATGGAAATAATAATGAAAGTTCTTAATGTATCCGTACCGACGGATTAGTGAAAATTTTGTTCGTTACAGACAATAGGAAATTATAGTAACCAAAGAAAAAAAGGAAAAATAAATAAAAACTAAAGTCGCATGCAAGCCCATTGCAGCCACAAACAGTATACGGGAGAAGGGGGAAGAAGATGCCAATTTGATATGGTTTTTAAGAAGCGTAAAACAGACATGAGAACATTTTATTATCGTACAAACTCATGCGTTTTAATATTATAATCGCATGAGCATTCGGTGTGAAAAATCCAAATTCGGTGTCAAATATAAAAAAGTGAAAACGTCAGCTTAGAAAGTTTCCGTAACTATCGAGAAAAATTGACGTCTTCGCGCCGCCGTTCGCCTATCGGTAATCTTCAATGTCGCTGTGGTTGATTTCGAACAAATAATCTGAAAGCAGAGAAACACGGATCAGCAAAAGTACCATCGTCGCGAGCACAAGATCCGAAAGACAGGGAGGAGCGGATCTGTAAGCGAGGAATTGCCTGCACGCGCGAGATGTCGACGAACAGGACGTTTTTCTTGAGTGCTGAACAAAAATGGGACATCGTCAAGGTGAATTGGATGTTATTACAGAAATCCAGGTATTTGTTTTTAGAGAAAATCAAAAAGAAATGACGTTTTTTTTTTCGTTTTAGAAATATTATAATTTATATACATATTCATCGTAACGTATCATAATAATTCTTTGACTTGGTATTCGGTTGCACTATAAACAATACGCGCCATACGGCAACGCATACTGCACTCCGGCCTATCGATAAAAATATCTCGATGAAAACCTATTTTGAGAAACGTCTCGCGGTAGCCTCATCAAGATATCGGCGCGAGATTCTGAAAGTTCTTTAAGGACAGAGCGTTCCAAAGTTTTCACTCAAAGTTCCTTCACTTTCGTGCCTTCAATTGGTCTATTTAACGCCGAAAAAACGTCAAGTCCGGGCCGCTGTGTGCTGCTTCCTAGAGGGAAGAGATCGCGCGGCTTGTTTCGGAAACTTCTTCCGACCAAAGTCGCGCCACAGCTCGGGGTCACACACGCGTCACGGCGCATTAGCAAAGCTGGAAGTTGCACGGGGCTTTCTGGCGGTGCCTACGCAGGCTGCTGTTGTGGAGAAACGTCTTGCCGCAGACGTTGCACTTCTGCGTGCGGCCGCACTCGTGCCGCACGTGGAAGAGGAGGTGCGACTGCTTGGAGTAGCAGGCGCCGCACTGCGTGCAGGAGAACGGCCTGATCTTCTGCGACTGATGGCAGGTGGACCTCGGGTTCCAGTAGCAGGAGCTCTTCTGATGACTCCTCAGATGGCCGGACTGCGTAAAGCCCTTGCCGCAGTACTTGCAACTATACTTTCTCTTGGTGCCTTCGCCGCGCGTCGAACTATTCGCGCCTAGCTCCAGTTCTGCAACACGATTACCGTTCCGTCAATCGATTGCGTTCGTGCTTAAGCGATTACATACACAAAATTAACGAAGCGATTCTCCTTGACGAAATACGTTTATTTGCGGCTCGTGGGTTACAAAAATAAATTGTTCAATTCAGTTCAATCGTTTGCGGTCGGAAATCTCGTGGTAAATCAATACAATACTCATTCCATCGGCGTTCTTTAACGATGAACAACATAATTCATTATTACTAGCAATTTAAAAAATTATTAAAAATTTACAAAATAAGAAATGTTTAAGTGCAATCATTGTTGCGATGTTTGAAAATTTATACATCGACCGCAAAGGATTAATAGCTTCCTAACAAAAAGCTGTAAGATGTATCTCATGCGTACAAATAAACTAAATGAAAGGCTGGCTCGTCACATCGAAATGAACTGGAAAAATATGCATCGTGCTTGCAACGTTCCCCGTACGATGTCTTTGCAGCGAGAGGAAGAGAAATACAATATATATTCCACTTATCCCACATTGGCTGTTAAAATATCACAGATTAAAGTGCACAGCGTATTAGTGGTGGTATCATTGTTGCGTTTCAAGATGCGAGAATATTTAGTGACATCATTTACATTACGTACAACATGTAAAGGGTAACGGCAGTTCTGAAAAATAAAATAGATATACTTGATTTTCAAACAGGATATTATTATAAAGCGCATGGTAGTTTAGGACGTTCAGGTGAATCGATGAACAGTTTGGTGTTACACCAGTTTATTTTGTATGACAAAATAGAAAAACTAACAGTATAAGCATCGTAGAAAAGAACATAGCGGTGAAAATTGTAGCAGATGTATCAAACGAATAACGAATAAACTATATTTAAGCTATGTTATAAATCTAAAAGAGACAAAAAAAAATTAGTAAACCCATAGAGAAATCTGAAACACTCGCAGTCAATCAAGTATTCATAGTAACATACACAAGTAAAAAAACGTACAAAAAAAATAAATACCGTAGCAAATCTAGTCGTAAAATATGGACTAACAAACATTTTTTT